TAATCATATAACAGGCAATTATAATAGCATTAACAATCTAACGGTAATTAATTAATCATTCAAATACCAGTATCCTCTCTAACTCCAAAAAAAAAAAAAAAAAAAAAAAAAACTACTTATGATGCCTTAACAGATTAACAGAATCATATTATACTGTGTAGTATCAAAAATGTTTGAAGTATTGCGACCATTGCAACTGTCGGCTACTCTTTCACCACTTGAAAACTCTCTATATCAGCAATCACAGATAGCTCAGTGGTAAAGTAAGAGGCTCATAAGTCGAAGGACCCGGGTTCGAGACCCGTCTGGGCCAAAAAAATTTTGTTCTAGTTTTTTTTCAAAATTTGTTTTTATGAACAATTTAATCAATTTACTCAACTAATAATTATGCTTTTCGTACTAAATCTTTATTATTTTGTGTGAAATAAAACGGTTGGACAATGGTTGGCTGGAAAACAGTTTAAAGAGGTGACATTTCTACCGTTGGCCAACTGTGTGGCTCCACAATTTACCAACGTTGGCCCAACCATCTGTGCTACATGGGATACTCATAAGCATTAATAAAACATGCAGAACTTGAACTAAATTAAAATAATGAAAAAAGCAAACATGCTAGCATAAAAAGAAAATAGTACAAAGCAAACAGCATCTGCAAAGTATCACACCATGCAAGGCAAAAACCAAACTGGAAGACATTTACCAAGCAATACATTACGTACATTTTAGATACAGAAAATCATGCTAGAGATGTCTTCTTCATAAAATTCTTTTTGCATAGCATATGTAATCTTTGGTACATTTGACTATTCGGTATCCAATAGTCAATGGTATTACTGTATTCTGTTCTTTTTATTTCAGCTTATCTTAACAAATCAATAGTTTTATTAATACTTAAGATTTATGAAGTCCAATGGTGAAGCCCGTGGGTAACAGCCTAGACAAAAAGAACTATTTGTCTATGGTAACAGCTATTTTCCTTAATGTCAATAATCTTTAAATAAATAAATCTGCTCTCTGCTACATGATTTTGCTGAATCTTATATTTATTTGCTTATTTTATATGTGTGTGGCATTGGAAAGAAAATCAAACGTGCTTGGGCTTATACCACTAGTTAAAGGTGGCCGTGCTTATACACGGTTGAGAAACAGCCCGCGACTGGAAATTTGTCCCTATATTATTAACATGTAATTTTTTGCTTATAAAGTGATTTGCCATACCATGGAATTTTAACCCCAGAAATCTACCACCAGTGGTCAATTCAGAAACGTCCGACCTCGGAATTCTTACCCCGGAAATCTACCCCCCGCGTGGTCGGCTACGCTAGGTATCGGCCAAGATTCATTGTTGTGTAGTTGGTTTTATTTACTGGTTAATGTAAATCATCGACTCTCCGGTTAATCATTTCCTTCTAATATCCAGTATTAGGTTAGGCCACCAATAAAGAAACTCAACTACAATAATGTATCTTGGCCGATACGTAGCGTAGCCGACCAGACGGGTAGAATTTCGGTGTTGGACTTGTACAATAATTTGACCACGGGAGGTAGATAAATCCGTTGTCAGTTTTATTGGGATTTTGATTAATTAAAACTGTTAAGTAAACCATGAAATGTGAGTTGATTGAAATATATAATAATTTACCCATCCTAAAAGTTCGCTGCCTGAAGTCAACCCCCAGACCTGTGACGTCAAAATGACGTAGGCGTTTTTTTCGTGGGGGTAAATTTCCGGGGGTATAATTCCGACGACCCATGGGTCGTATAGTGTATTCGGAATTCTACCGTACAAGATAATAAACAGTGTAAATCATAACAAACGTTGTTTCAAAGATTGATTGCTAAACTAATGGATTCATTCATACAAGAAGAAAGTTCAATCTCATTTTTGTGGGAAATCCCACAGGTACCCCAGTTGTTTTGAAATGGGTAACTTAGACTTTTATAGAACGGACTATGAAGTTTTAATTGTGTTTCATGCTTTAGTTACAGAAACAAGTTTCAAAGGGTGCCTCCTCTTTAAAGATTCGTAGTAAAGAACTTATGAAAAATGCCTGGTTGTGATTTTTAAATTTTCATATAGGCTATAATAGTTTAAAGTTTCTAACAAATTTACTGCTAATATTTAAAAATGATTGTTTAAAATTTTAATTTCCCGTCCGTGTTTTGACTTTAAATGAGTTAATTATTTTAGATGTACACCATTGAAATAGTCTGGGATGTCAAGTAGGGCTTGTTTTTAAATTTAAATGCTGCTGCTTCAATCCCTAGAAGCATTTATGGAACTAAGCGCCATTCATCATCTATATCTATACTATTATATAAAAATCTAATGGTGTCTGTCTGTATGCGTGTTACTAATAGGCGCAAAACTACTGAAGCAACTGGGCTTAAATTTTACAAAAATATAGCTACCATACCAAGGACCATTATAGGACTATTCACAATTCGACACTGATCGTTCTCGTTGGCTTTGCCCCTTTGGCTTTAAAGGTTCTGAGGTGAGGATTTTAAAAGTAAATATTGATTGGTCTCCATGGCTGCCATGAGAACAAATACAATGTTTGCAATTTGCTCGGTGGGGCACACGGGAGGGACTAAGGCTAACATATCTTGTAGTGTCAGCGTTCGCCGCTAGAACTACTAAGTTGAAAAAATTTAAATTATTTTTTATTTTTAGTTATAAAACTAACTTTTTAATTATAAAATATTGTTTTAAAATTATAAAATGAATTTTAATTTTTAAAATTAAACTGTCATAACATAACCTAACCAACCAGACTTGCTGATAATATAAAAACGATATAAGATAAAAATCTAATTAATGATTACTTATAATTTTTAATTAATTATAAAATTAATTTTAAAATTTAGTATTATAAAATTAAACTGTCTTAACCTAACCTAACCAACCAAACTTGCTGATATGAAAAATTTGTTGACAAAATGTTAGTGCTGCCAACGGGATTCCAACCCGGGACCTCCTGAACACCAATCCGAAACGCTACCAACTATGCCACAAACGCCGCTGAAATCGCATCGTTTCATTACGGTAATCGTGTCGCCTCAAGAGAAGACATTAGCCACTAGAGATATGACGTCACTACACCTTTAGCTTTAGTCCCTCCCGTGTGCCCATTCCGCAATTTGCTATGCCACCCAAATGTAAACAAGCTGAACTGTCAAACCACATTAATTCACAATTCCACAGCTGACTTATAAATAGTTATATAATATTGTCTACAATCATGTGACATGTTTATTTATTCTTATATTTGATGGTTCATTGATTATTGATTTTATGAAATAAGTCAGATCGTATATCTGTTGCTGTATCTAACCCTAATTAATTATTTAAAATCTCACTATTGTGAATAATGTATTGAAAGATTTTGGTGTACAAAATAGTGAAATTATAAAGTTTATATTATCTTCAATCATTTTAACATTTTTCTACAATTAACATGTGTTTAGAGTAGGGCACACACCTTTAAAATTGAAACTTTTCTCAAGGAGATAATTAGTTGTATATTTTCACCATTTTGAGAGAAATATTGTTCACACCATTTCCTTTTTCACAAATTTTTAAATCATAATTTCATACTACCCATAGATTGGTAACTTATGGTGTTTTCTAATCCAGAGGTAACTACTACCTATCTATAACTTTTGACACTTTCTGTAGATTTCACATTCTATTCTAATAATGAACATCTTTTTACGGGCGTTTCATGGTCATTACATGTATATTTTCAACCAATTTCCTCTTAACTTAACCTACCCTCGACATAAACATTGTTTGAATGACGTTAAATTTCCTTATTCTAAGCTGATATACAAATATTTCAATTTAAAAACAACAATAAAAACCTAAGTTGTATATGCACTTGCCTTTGGTGCATGAATAGTAGGAGCTATAAATAGTAGGGCTAAGTATATTTCTGTTTGTTTTAGTAGTAAGAGTGTTGATGTTTTTCTTTGTTCACATAGTATATAATGAGATATTTTTATAATCAATGCTTAGTGAGCAATGCTTTTTAGAAACAAGATCACATGTTTCATTTAATTCAAACTGTAATATTAACCAGATGTTGTAAATTATTGTTTGTCTATGTTTGATTTTATCATTTAGTAAAAGCTTTGAGTTTTTTATTTCTTTTATTGTTTGAAAATGTTTTTTTATGTAATTAGTAAGTTAAAAGTTTTTGATAGGTACATTTATTGAAATGTAACCTTATTTTACTCTTTTTTTCATGTCAGATTTCATAAAGCACCATATAGCCTACATCAACCCCGGACGAAGGACGGGTCCTCTGCTAGTTGGGCTATAAATTTTCAATGGAGCTATAACAAACGGTAAACGTTAGATAGTAACAAACCCAGGTTTTATAATAATAGATATCGATGGTTTTAGCCCGGTCAATTAAAAATAAGTAAAAACGCAAATGGCTGAGATAATAAGAAACAAGTAAATAAAAAGATCAGCTGTACCATAGACAAAAAGTCTATGGCTGTACTAATGCCTCCTGTAAAGATCTTCTTTGTTAGGCTAAGATGATTTGAATGTTTGGACATTCGTATTGTTAATATTTTTATTTTAGAAATTCATTTTCCATTTCTGGGAAACTCTGATGACATGGTTCTTCAAACAAGGCTTGTAAAATTGAACGACAGAAAGTATATGGATACAAAATAAATCATAATGCGTAGTCTGTACATTGATGCACTATGCTGCGGGAGGGACAACATCCATACCCGGCAAGCCTACAACATGGGTTTAGACCACTTTCCCAAACCAAAAGCGTTATATATCTCTAATTCATCGTAACTCATGTAAAAAATAATGCCAATGACCAATAGCGTTGTCAAGCACGAAGAAAATGGTGTTACCATTCGACCAAAACATGACACAGGCCTTGTTAGACTGTTTATATAGTGTAGTATAGTGTTGTATAAATAACATTCGAATACCTCTATGGTATCTCGTTAATCTTGAGATTTTACGTGAAACTATTTTCAGCACAAGGTAGGCTTGAGCTCGGAATTTCGTGATTTGTAATTATTTTGTTATTAAGTGAAATATTTTGTTTATTCGTTGCCGGTGAAGTTTATGTGTCGGGAAGTGAAATTACTTAGATAAAAACATGCTTATAGTTTGGTGTTTATTATAATCGAAAACTGTGGTACCCTCAAGAGAAGTGTATAATGGAGGAAGGGAGCAGCACTCCTTTCTCGTGTTTGAGTTCCAACATCTACTAAATCAACTATGTTTAGTTTATTTTAATTTCGGTAGTCTATTTTTACAGTGAAATTCACCTGTAGGAAGTTAACAGTTATCGTCCAACTTTGAAGTGTGTATCTAATCTTTTTGTTTCTTCAAATAAAATGCAATCCTCTGATTACGTACCGGTGCAAAGGAGCGTGAGATTGTTGGTGGAGAATTAAGACAACCCTATTCCCCTCATATACAAGAAATAGATTCTTCAAAGGTTATCAAGTGTTGTATGTGTGATACCTTCTTGTCAATTGTTTGATAAGATAGAGTCCATCTCCAGAACTACTTTAATAAGTTACTGTTGAAATTAAAAATACTTGTTTTTTGAAAGTTGTGCAGATGCTTTGGGAATGCAAATGATTGATTTTAAGAAATGAAACTTGAAGAAGTTCAATCCAAATCTTGACGAATTTACCTTCAACCATCTGATTCGAGGATACCATAATTTCTATTGTGGATTAGGTACTCAAAACTCTTCTTTAATCAATATACTTTTAGCCTACATAGGCCTAGGCTAAGTTATTGCTATAAGTTTGGCTAGGCCTAGTTCTGAATAAGATATCAGATTTTCATTTTATTGGATAACTTGCCTTTTCCATTCTTTTGGTGCTTTTAAATCATCTCATGTGTTAAAACAACCCTCTTGCTCTCCCATCAGTTAGGTACCCTACAGTTCTAAGACTAAGTTCCAGAGTTCTAAGTTCATCAAAACTCTTCTGGCGGAAGCAGGCCTTATTCTTCAAGAACCAAGTTTATAGGTCTATAGGGTTCTCTGTTTTCTTGATCTATATTTTTCAATCCAAACTAAAGACAAGCTCTGATAACTTATCATCTTTTTTGTCAATTCCATAACTACTTACTTACTTCTAGGTAGATGAACAAAAATATTTTATGCACTGTTAAGCCTTGGGTTTAAACACCATCATGTCTTCTGGTACATTTGTGGATAGGATAGATCCATTTGCTAAGCGCTCATTGAAAAAGAAATCAAAGAAGTCACAAGGATCTTCTAGATATCGCAATGCTGCTGATGCAGAACTACAACCTCTACCACTCCTCAAAGGTAAGTAACTTTATAAGTTAATAGGCCTAAGTCAAAATTTTCAATAATATTTAACCTAGTCTAAGCCTAGTAATTTTTCTCTGAGTTGATTCTAGAGAAGTTAACCTTAAACTAAATGGGTGGACAGTTCCACAAAGAACCTAGGCTACTATAAGTTAGGTTATTTTGGTTTAATATCATTAGCCTACAGGCTAGGGCCAATCGATTTTGATTTGGTTCGATAGGGTACCTATCGTTTCTAACCTAAGTACAATGTAATTTTGGTAAGTTTAGGCCCCTACTTACTTCCCTCTTGAAGGGAAAATTCATCAAGATTTCTTTTCAATAGGCACACGGCACACTTCTACCTAGGCTGCACTTTAGTTTATGTCCTAACTTAAATTTACTATTAGGCCTATACATTAAAACCCACATAATACCAGCTGATTATAAAATATTTAACTGTTCAAAACTGAACCTAACCTTAACCAAACTGCAGTAGGTCTATGTGTGTAAATGGGTCCGCGGAATTGGCTAACTCTGGAACTCGCTAACCCCATGTTAAACGCCCTATCTTCAAATTTGGTCGACGAGAGGAACTCGTTAACTTGTTCGGTTTCGGAATTGGCTAACTCCAGAACCCGCTAACCCACTCTGGAGCTTTATAGTTAACTTGATGATTTGTTCTTTACTGTTTGGTTATATAACTAGGGGACGTGTTATTAGATATGATTAGAATGTTTGGTAATTATTGCGACGAACGTGACCATGGGAACCTATATAGATTTATATATCACAAGAAACTAGATTTTTAGCTGAAAAATGCTTGCAGCATTTTTGAAATCGTTATTTCGTTGTATTTAACACACCATTTTAATGGCGCAACAACTGCCTGTGTGTAATATAAATTATCAACTCGGTTCACTATAACCTACACTTTACCTTCCTAATCTAACCTAACTTCAAAACACTTAATGCAGTCACGAATCCGCATAAGCCCGACTTGCCTTCCACACATGCCTAAATAAAACATTCTGAAATAAGTTATTCAGTGCCTTGTTGTTTCTTAGATTGATGTTTGTAGTACATGTACGGTACCGGTACCTACTTTGAATGTCTTTGATTGACTTATTTTTAATCTCTACTCTTCAATTTCGTATTTTCACTTTCATTTCAGTTCGGTTCAGTACAGTTCTACAAACAGTTAGTCTAGTCCGTAATTCCCGAATTCCGTATTGCGGCAAGGAGTTAGAGTTAGTAGCAGACTAGAATAGAAGGCAGAAGGTAGATAAAGGAAATCAAAACGTCAAATTATTTTAAGTTACCTTAGTTAATATTCGTGGCCTCGGAGACATTTTTGCACTGTTATTTCCAGGTAAAAAGTGAGTCTTGTACTTTAATCATTACTTACTAGGTGGCGTTCGCAGAGGCATCCACAAAATTGAGCGGAGTCGTCAAGGGTTCATATTAGGCTATATTGTTTTTGTCATAATGCAGTAAAAACAGTCGTTTTTAATGCATGCGTTTTGGGCCTAAAGTAGCATTTTTACTCTTTAGGGTCAGATTCTATACCCCGAACAGCTCGCCTTTACTACTTCCTTCACCACTTCCTACGTCGCGGACCTGTTTCCTTCCCTTCCAATAGAATTTTAGGATTGCTGATACCTTAATATAATCGTCATAAACAGATCCCACACTCCGGGCAGCTTGCCTTGACTACTTCCTTCACCACTTCCTACGTCGCGGACCTGATTTCCTCCCTTCCCGTAGAATTTTAGGAATGCAGATACCTAAATCTAATTGTCATAAACAGTTTCAACACTCCGGACAGCTCGCCTTCACTACTTCCTTCACCACTTCCTCCGTCGCGGACCTGTTTTCCTCCCTTCCCATAGAATTTTAGGAATTCAGATACCTAAATCTAATCGTCACAAACAGTTTCCACACTCCAGACTGCTCACCTTTACTACTTCCTTCACCACTTCCTACGTCACGGACCTCAAGCTAGTGTCGTCATTTGATTATAATTTATGATCCATACCGTTTCTGTTCTAATATATGTGAATTAATGCTATCAGCTATTTCTTTGTCTACCGCATTCAAAAGTCAACAGCTAATCATATGTTTTTGTTTATGTGTCAAATACTGCTTCCATAAGGATTACATTGAAACTTTGAGACCCAGTGGAACGGATTCCTGAGAGATTTTTTTAACGCCATATAGATGTTGGCACTCACCGATATGGTCTTTATCACCATGCAAAATTTGAAAACGATTGATTCAGCCGTCTAGGAGGAGTTTGCGTATTACGAAATGCATAAGAGTCGACGTATAAGAGCTTCGCTCGCTCCGCTCAATAATTAACGTAATATATCAAGTATCTGGAGAGAACATTTAATAGGCTTATAAATAGGTTGGGTCAAACAAACAAAGTAGCCCAGGCCTACCGGTAAATAAAACTTAAAACAGCCGTAACTCCGTTAGTATTTGAGAGCGCGGAAAAATTTTTGCACCGTTATTTTCAGCTAAAAATCTTGTTTCTAGTGATATATAATTCTATATAGGTTCCCATGGTCACGTTCGTCACAATAAATACCGAATGTTTTATTTGGTTAAACGAGGTTTTTAATGACTGAAGACAAGAAACAATTGTAAACAAAACACGATCTCTATTTAAAGACAGTGCACCGGACAGAACCAACAGTAAAACTGTATGATCCACAATATAGGCTAAGGATGAGAAATGTAGGCTACTAATATAAGGGAGTATGTTTCATACAGGGTGAGTTTTAATTGTCCCCCCCCAACTTTTTTATACATTTGTTATTTCTACAATTGTTAGTAAGTGGTCTGGGATTGATATTTGAAAAAAATGTAGAAATAAGTTGGGGGGGGGGGGACAATTAAAACTCACTCTGTAGGCTATATGGTTTTCTTACTTAAATAGTAGTTTATTGGGATGCAAAAAGATAGTACTGTACATTTAATTTGGATCTTTTAAATGATATGAAATATCTATTCTCGTAGTCCACACCATTTTTTTCTTTTATTCGAAGAAATGCCATTTTTTGAACTTCTGCAAATAAAGTGATTAAGTTCGTATTTTTGTATAGGCCTACTGAGCTTGTAACCGAATGCTTGTCCTTGATAGGTTATAATTTTTGACTCTTTAAAGGCCTATTATATCTTTCGTGCGAGTCTTAACAATAGTTTGGTTCTTCTTAATATTTCTGTATATTGTTAACAAAATAATTCCGAATCATAGTTGTTTTATCTATGGTAGGTATTAGTAAACAAATAAAAATAGTTTCGGTATTTTTCTATAGGTAGCAGGCACATGATCAAAGAAAGTAGAACATTAATTAATAACGCAAATCAAAAACGTTAACAATGAATTACAATATTGTGTCTTTACTTTAGTCAAGAAAAGGAATTTAAATGTTCTTACATTATGTTGTTAGGAAACATAAAATCTATTAACAAAAATTGAAGTAGTATTGTAATAGTCTATCCTATTCGAGGCAACCAACAAATAGGCCTAGACATTTAAAAAAAGCTCCAGTAATCGTCGTAGACTTTATGCCTAGAATTTTGAGGATTACCTTCCCGATATTAAACGTCATTACAGAAATACTTTCTAGTGGTAATATATTTTATCGTGGAAAACAAAAATATCGATAACTTATATCGAAAAAAATCATCGGTAATAAATTAATGTTCCCTTTAACAGGAAAGTAACTTACCGTTCCGATTTTACAAATTAAGATACCGGTAACATTAAAGATAAAAATAAAGAAACAATATTAAATGATATTGTTTTTGTCAATCAATTTTATTTAGGTACATCACATTATATGGTAAAATTAAATGCAATGTGATTTTATTTAGGTTATATAAGTAATAGAACCACATTATCATTAATACAGGAGTCCAGCTTCGGCCAGGACAAACTTAACCAGATTATTTGTGAGGTCAAAACAAGCAAAAAATGCAATACATTAAAGTATCCTATCTCGAACCGTTTAGCGCCTGTCTGTCTTTATGTGCTTTTTACAATAAAATGAATAACTCCTATAGCAAGTTTGAGCTATAGCGTTGAAATTCAGCAAATATGTCTTATCGTTTTGTCTCCTACCTTTGTGTAGAATATGAATACAAAATATATTGCCGTTTCAAAATGGCGGCTATTTTTAATGATATTTTTATAAAAGATATTAAGTTTGTAAAACAAAAAATAGCTGCCAAAATACATTTTTTATTCATATTTTACAAAACAAAGAGATAAATTTAGTTAAATAATCCTACTTTGACACTAAGTTTTCATTGTGTATCACACCTTTTTGTTGCTGTCTGGTTCAAATTACTTAGCTGTTGTCATAAATGAAAAAAGTACCATAATAGTGCTGCACCCTGTTACACCAAACTCTAGAAACAGAGGTGCCCATCCCCCCCAAACCCAGAGGCGCAACCCCCCCCCCCCCAAGCCAAAGGAGTAGTTCTCCCCCCCCAATTTATGCTGCCGTCTATTTAAACCTACCCTCCCCCCACCAATTTATCTGACAATTTTCCCTTTACCTCATAAAACGATCATTCCAATTTAGTATTTAGTAAACTTGAGGTAAAGAAAAACAAACTTGCTGATAACAAAATTTAAATGTTTAATAGGAAACGAACAACATTTAACAATACTTCATTAGGTATATCTAACTAATGGACGAATTAGAAGTGTTTCAATTTACATTTCAGAATCTCTATTGTCAGCTAACATGTGTTCAGTATTGCAATAGACAACGTCTTCAAAACGTACAACAATATACTAGGTGAATTACTCTACTCCAACACAGTATTGTAACTGTACAATATATTAGGTGGCGTTAAATTTTACAGAGAAAGAATCTCAGAGAAGAATTTTAAGAAATCAAACCGCTTTAAAAATGCATTAATAATACTTTGGCAAAGTTTTTTTTTCAAAATTATAGACAGTCACGAAATAAGACAGACTTGTTGCTCGCCACTCCCTG